TAAAGACTTTATAGTGGGTAGTTTAGCATGAACAAAACAATATATTTTTAAGCCGTTAGTTGGCATTACAATTGGACCGAATGAGTGCAGCTGCATCGCAAACAATAAAGTGACAGTTTAAGAGGTGCATTGTGCCAGTACCTAGGCAGGTAGATGTACAGTAATAGCAAATATAAAACACTATTTGCAGATTTTGCAGATTTATTGGTTTACACAGGCTGATACGTTTCATTTTAAAAAGTAGAGGTGAGAGAAGCAACTTCGAACTATATTGTGAGTGTTGATGTTGAATACTTTGTCCACTGGAGGGCGCTCTACAACTTCCCTGTTAGCAACACATTTGGCATGCCATAAACACAACAACCAGCTGATCCGAGCGCAGTCACGTGAATCGTAAATGACTAAATATACAACCACACATAATAAATATAAGGGAACTTTAACTGCAGGGTGGTGAGCAATGTTGCCTCAAAGGAGAAAGGGCCTGAGTTCAAATCAACCAACTGACCCTGATTCAAGGGGTTGTGTCTGTGCAGGTTCTCTCCAGTTGTGTCGCACAGTCCAAAGACATGCAATTAGTGTAGATTGATGATTCTAAATTACCCATAGGTGTGAATGTAAGTGAGACTGGTTGTCTGTCTGTCTCTCTGTATTAGCCCTGCAATAGACTGGGGACTTGTCCAGGGTGTACCGTGCCTCTCGCACTATGACAGCTGGGATAGGCTCCAGCCACTGCTACCTTTCTAAAAGAAAGAAATATGTGTTTTTCAAAAATAACCAATTATTGGTGTCAATGTCAGTGTTAGGCTACGTTCACACTGCAGGCAGAAGCGCATAAAATCCGACTTTTTTGACCCTATGCGACCCATATCCGATCATGGTATGACAGTTTGAACAGCACAAATCCGATATTTTCAAATCCGACCTTGGTCACTTTCGCATGTGGTACTGAATCCGATGTTTTAGAAAGCGACTGCTGTTTGAATGGTCAAGTCGCATTAAATCCGTCTTTTACGTCACTGACACAAGACAGACGCCAATTATCAGCGC